GCTAGGTGTCCAAAAATTAATGAAAAAATCCAAAAACATAATAATTTTGGAACTAATAATGTTTGTTTGGGTAGAACTCTAGTGCCTTTTATATGATGCTTCTTGCTCGTCGTAATCGTAATAAATATATTTTGGACTTGGAATCATTTTGCGATCATTATATAGAATAAAATTATTATTGTCGTGGTAACACTGCGGAGTATTGCTGTAGTGATAGTATTTCGGTAGTGATATGGACTTCCTAATTTTTTCTCCAAACCTAAAAGCCAGAGTTCAACCATGACATCAAAAATCGAATGTGTTATTAGGCAAGCAATAACTAAATTTTCCGGTTCATATACTTCAAAGGCTTTTCACGATAATTTGATTAAATTGAAATGTAATGCCAATAAATTGGATGCACTTTCGATTGGCTTGGATTTTAGATTGTTGCGATGGGATACATATGAATTGAACAACAACCTAGATAAATTGTCTGGATCCACATTAATACGACCTCATCAAGCTCCCGTTACTTACATTGAAGTGTTTGAAGATGAAAACGTATCGATTGGTGTGTTTGTGTTGAGAGATGGTGCTAAAATACCTTTACATGATCATCCCTTCATGAATGGTGTGTTAAAAGTTATTTATGGTAAAGTCAAAATACAAAGTTATACACCTGTACATAAGGATTATAATGAAATAAAGTAATTATTATAGTTGTAACATTTTATTTTATTTTTAAATTGTGTTTAATAATTTCATATTCGCAGCGACTGTAACATTGATGCTATAAAGCTGGCACCAATTATTGTTGGGGAATCAGACGATCCATGTGTGCTGTGTCCGATAGAAGGAAATATTCATCAAGTAGATACTATTGATGGTCCAGCCGCATTTGTTGACATATTAGCTCCACCGTATGAAACTGATATTCCAGAATTAGGGAATAGATGTTGCAGGTACTTTAAAGAAGTAAATATATCTAAAGATATCAAATTAGCTATTATATCAGATCCTAGAGATTACTGGAGTGATGCAGCTCCATATACTGGACCTCAATTTAATATACATTTTGAACCTAAAACTTAATTGTTACATTCTTCAAATACTTTTATACATCATATAAAATAAAATAATATTACTTTATGACTACGAGTCATCAGTGCCCAAATCTAATAATTTTACGTATACATTACATATTCTGTTAGTTATGGGAGTTCTTGTATTTTAAGTTTTACAATTTACAGTATTTTTCAATAATAATAATTTTGTTATTATACATTGATATTGTAATGAGATGTAATTTAGGCTTTAGGAAAGATACTTAATTATTTGGATTAGCTATTAAACTATTTTTATAAATTAGTTAATTTTCTATGATTATAATATGTATTGAAATTGATTTACATTCATGCATGTACTTGCAATTTTTTATTACTTTAATTTGTAAAATTGTTTTTAAAATATTTTGCTTCTGGTTATGTTAATATTCATTTATTTTTTTTGTTTTTCCTGAAATGTGATACATTTTACCTATACAGATGTATGTATAGGTTATTGTTATATTATTTTTATTTATTAAAATTAGTACTGAATTGAAATGGTTATTTATTTTTAGTTATTTTAAAATATAGGTACATCATTCTATGTATCAAGGCTTAACACAATATTAAATAATGGACTGCTAAAAGTCAAAAGGACTATGACCTCCTGATTTCATTAATTTTTAACATTTTGGGCCGCAAAATGTTAAGATGAGCAAAATAATTACTTTACATATTAATTGGTTGTCTCATTTCACTATTAACATACCATTACTTTTCTTTATGTTACACATACACATACACAATTCGGCAGGCTTCTATAATTGTTTTAATATTATTATAATTGTGCTAGTGTATCCTGTTTTGGCAAATCATATGAGAATTAAATTTTTTTTCTTAAATTTTAAATTAACATTTAATTTCTTTTTTTGATGTATTAAAATGTATTACATTTTTTTAATTTAAAAATATTTGAAATCATTGAAAATGTTTGAATCGTTAAAAACACTTATATTTTATTTTATTGATAACAAATTTTTTTTAACTTATTCATCTACACATTCATTAAATTTAATTCTAGAAGTTATGACTAAAAGTTGGTTGAAACTATTTGATATATTTTTTCCTCACAACCATTCCTTACAAGTTCCATTTGAGTTTTTTTAATTGAGATCAAATTTAAGTAGAACAATTTTTTATTTATTCTGAGGCCACTTTTTCTTCATCATATTAAATAATAAATACACATCATACATGCATGGCTGTATGAATTGAAGGGTTATATATATAGTAATCTAATGAATTGAAAAGTTGGAAGTCTGATATAGCTTTTTTCACACCTGAACAGAAAGTTTGATTTTTGATGTGGTTGAAGTAACGGAAAATGATCTTTTTCCGTTCGGTAGATAGTAAATAATTTTTTTTCAGATTAATGGGTGGACAAATAGATTTTTCATTTGCAAAAGTAACAACTGTACGAGTACTGGATATTTTTTTTGGTATACTAAAGGTACTAAATACATTTTTTTGTCCATTTTTAATCACCAAAATAAGACTCCTAAATTCTAAGTAAGATAATACTGCAATTTTACACCACACAACAGAAGTACTGTACGAACATTTGTATTTTATACATTATGACATTCTGTCGTTATCATAACTATCCGTTTGCGCCACAAATATAACAAATTAATATAATGTATTTTAATTTGTGGTTTGTGCACATAAGCAATTCCATTATCGTGGGCCGTGAAGAATCCCAAAACACCGATGGACTGATTATTTATTTATAGTTGGAAATACTGGGAGTTTGAATATTGGATGTTGTCGGGGTGAACAACTACAATATTCCACTTAAATAATCAAAACATTTGGGGGGGCTAAGCTCCCCTAAGTCCCCCCCTAGTTGCGCCAATGAATAGCTCTCTCTGACACTTCCCTTGCTAGTTGCACAAAATATTAATGGAATATTTTCTCATTATTTTTGCCACTCTTTAGCATTGATCAACAAACATTTTAGAAATAGTATAATTTCACTAAAAATATTTTCTTATATTTATGCAATGTTTGCATAATCATAATTATTGTTGTTGAGTAAGTACCTATTTTAAGTAAAATATATTTAAGAAATACAATTTTAACAATATGTATATGTTTTTATTAATTGTAATTCATTGATTATAAAAAATCATCATACGGTAATTTAAATTAAAATTGTATTGTTATTTTCCTTATTTTTTCTATATTTTAAGCTGGAACATCTTTAAAGTGCTTAATATTTCGTATTGAATCTGTAACAGTTATAACCCTATATTAATATGTTTTATACATATTGACAATATATAAATTGTATATTTTGTATACATATTTAGTAGTTGCTGAGACAATATTATGTGTAGGGCTGTGCGATAGTCACTTCTAGTGGTCGATAGTCGATTGTGATAAAACTAAGGATTGTATCGATTAATCGATTGTATTTTATGTACCGATTNGTAGGGCTGTGCGATAGTCACTTCTAGTGGTCGATAGTCGATTGTGATAAAACTAAGGATTGTATCGATTAATCGATTGTATTTTATGTACCGATTGTATCGAATAACTGAGTTACGTTACGCCGATAGTATCGATTAACCGATAGCATTGAATACCCGATGGTATCGAATGGCCGATAGTACCGTAACTTTAATTTAAGTATGAAAATATCACAAATTTTATTTTTTTCTATTTTTGTCTTTAACTCGTATAGTTAAGAGTCTTAACTATTTGTAGTCTTAATGTACCTATTTATATTTTGTGATTACGAGCGGGATTTATTATTTACACTTGGTAAAGAAACTTAAATGCCTAAAAATTGTGGGTTTTCTTTCTTAACTACATGCATATTGCTCTGTGCTACAAGCCGAATAACTATTTACCAAGTGCTAGGGCAGTGGGCCCTGGGCCAACATTTTGAATATTGCATTATTACCCAGACTGGCAATGAATGCACTCATTCTTTTAATATAGATAATATTATTATAACCTAACTTTTTATAATTATATGTTATAAATGTATGTATTATTTAAATATATTAAATTATCTATTAAGTATTTAGTATAAAGACTATAAAGTACTTTAAAAAATTTCAAAGATTTGTGGGGCAGTTCAATAAATTAAATAAATTAAATACTAAATATACTTTTTAATATGAATAATAAGATTTTAATAAGAATCAAAATATAACAAATACATTAAACAAATACAATGTCACCCTTTTATTGGGTTAAAGTCAACTCGACAAACACTAATAAAATATTAAACAAATAAGCATGATTAACAAATTTAATTATACATACAAATTAAAAATTATGAAATAGTAAATTTAAGTATTAACTTTCAAGTTTTAAGGTTAAGGTTTTGGAACATGAACTTTGTTCATTGATAAATAAACTAACTCACTTACATGATCATTAGTTAATGATGCTCTATGGTCTGTCACAACTAACCCTCCTTTGCTAAATACTCTTTCTGAAGCCACACTTGTAGCTTGTACAGTAAGATATTTCTTTGCTAATACACTCAAAAATGGATAGGTTGTACAGTTCAAAGACCACCATTTTTACGGATATTGTTCATATGGTACTTTTGAAAATTCTATGTACAAGTCAATTTCCCTTTTTATTTTACTACAAAAATTGATGTCTTGTTCTTGAAGCTGAAAAGGGATAATATTTGTTAAGTTGTATTACTATTATGTTAAATTAATTATATATGCAAATTAAAATCTATAAGTAAATTCTTACTTCATCATTATTTGATGGTACATCAAAAATGGCAGAAAGTCCAGTTTTTTGTTTTTTCATTGTAAGGGAATGACTGCTATCACCAGAAAATGACAAATTACCATCTTCTTTGCTATGCATTTCTTTCAATGACCATTCCATCCTAGATTCCAAACAATATTCTCCTATTACTGTTTTTAGTTCTGGCATTTATTCCTGGGCAATAAAGGTGGTTTTAAACCTTGGGTCTAAAACCATACATATTTTTAATGCAATATTATTATTGTAACGTTTGTCAAGAACTTCAATAATGGATGAAAATATATTTTTTTTTATTTCAATACATTTTTCATTAGATGCTGCGGCAATATTATTACTATTTACAGCTTCTGATAGTTTTGTTTTCAGATTAAATATAACTGGATATACAGCTGATGCAGTTACATAACTTTCTCCAGTCAAGTGGTCAGTTATTTCTCGCACTGGTTTTAGAATCATTGTAATACTTTTTAAGACATCAATTTCATCATCAGACAAAACTAACTTTTTAAACTGACCATTTTTATAGGTCTTAAGAAAACTAGATATCCCTAACTCTTGATCTAAAATGACCGAAATTAAATCAAGAAGAGACCACCATCTAGTTTTGGAATAAGATGGAAGTTTAAGTTTTTTTAACCCAAAACGCTCTTGCTCAATTTTCATCTCTCGGACAGCTTGCCAGCTATGAGCAAAGATGTTTTGGATTTTTTGGGTTTTATTTACAGTAATTTGTATTTCTTCAAGTTTGAATATATTTCCCACCGCAGTATTGAAAGCATGACCAAAACAAGGCACATGTTGTACATCTAAGTTCTTAATAGCTTTTATTATATTAGCACCACAATCAGTTGTAAATGCAGACACATTTTTAGGAGAAACAGACAAATTATAATCCAATAAAATTAATTGCAAAGTGTCTGCCAAGTTTTCTACAGTGTGGTCTTCAGACAGTTCTATGCAACCTAAGCATACGGAACCTGTAACATAGTATTTACACAGTTAACATTGAATTTGAATGAAATGTTTTATATATTATTATAATATTAATTTACCTAAATTAAATTTAGAATCAATATAATGCCCAGTTAAAGCTAAAAACGGTTGGTTGGATCTAGAAGTCCAACAATCTGTAGTAAACGACATAAAATAAACATTATTCACAATCGACTCAATGATAGTCTTAGTATCTTTGTATAAATTTGGTATTTTGAAATCAGTAAGTGTCTTTCGGCTAGATATATGGTAGCTTGCGTTTAAGGCGTTTGTATACACTTTGAAACCGTCTTTGGTCACAAGGTTGTAAGGCATCATGTCTACTGCTATAAAATAAGCTAATGCTGCATCAATTTTACATTGTGAAGCTTTAGTTATGGTAAATGCTGACATCAAAGTTTGACTATTTAAAAGCTTATGTTTTTGAGTAGTTTTGGTAGATAAGACTGTTTGTATCAAGGTTGAATTAGAAGTAGATGGAATTTGATTGTTTATTATTTCATTACTATTAATAGTATGATTTTCATTATCCTCAGTCAAAAAATCTTCACATGAACTGGAAAAAATATTGTGAATAAACATTTAACGATAACAATACTGTTTATTGTTTAATGAGCAGTTTTGTAAATGATAAATTTAAAACTGTATTTAAATACAAATACATCTATTTAGAAAGTATTTATAATAAATTATTTAAATAATATTCAAATACTTTTTTCATTTTACTTTTTACTAGTTGCTTTACCAAAACTAATTTAATATTTCCTAATTTAAAATTGCAATGTTACATTCAACTAGGTATTATTATTTATTAGACATTTTTGTATGAGTGACAAAATATTATGAATATATGACAATATATTATAAATGATAATATATTTATAAAAATATGTGACAACACGGACGAGTTACTCATTTGAACTTTGATAAGTAGGTATTTGATTTTCAAATACAAATAGGTATGTCCAAGAGTCCAAGACAGTCTTTAAAATATTTTCTTAATTCTAAAAAAGTATTTAAGTACATTTACTCAAATTAATTAAACTACATTACATACTACATTCACTAAATTATTATAAATAAAATAATTGATGACTTACTTATTGTAACTATTTAGCTGCGGTAGACCCTTTCTTAAATTGTCTAACTCTGTAAATTTTTTAATGTGTTTTGATTTTAAATGTGACCATAAATTGGTTGTGTTAGTCCCAGAATTTGAATAGTTCTTTTTACAGATGTTACATATCGCTTTGTGGTTATATTCACTTTTTGTGAACACTTGCCATACCTCACTCATTATAGGTGTTTGATTACGACTGCAGTCGGAGACTAATTTGAATTATTAGGTTATAGATGTAGCAAGTATGGTAGATGTGTTTAGATGCTAGAATATGAACCAAATGATAGGAAATCAGCATGAGTTTATACTGTTTATACTCTACTTATTCAAATAGGTAACAAAATCAACTTACCTCAGACAATCGTGAATTCGTGAATATAACACTTGACTACAATGAAAATAAAACGTTAGTGATTGTTTTGAGATGATAACTAGTGTTATAAATAGAAACAATTTTGTTCGTTTTTTTTTAACAAATATGATAAGTGACGATGATTAATGATAACAACGTATCAATAAACCAAAAGTATCGATTAACCGATTGTATCGATTAACCGATAGTATCGATCAACCGATAGTATCGATGTACTCGATACATCGGTTGATTATGTTTAGTAAAAACATCGATTAATCGATAGTTTCGATAGCTAAAAACGATTAATCGATACTATCGCACAGCCCTAAATTTATGTGTAAATATAATAATGACTTGTTTTGGGCAGGTCACTTATTCAGAATTGGTTGAGAAACAATGTTCTAAGCTACATAATTATATATAATGTTAGGTGGCATGAACAATCACTTAATATTTATTGAATCAATAGTGAACTAAATACAAATGATCCCTTAACATGATTATTAGTGGCCCGCGTTTTGCCTATTAAATTAATTAATTTGTTATGCAACCTGTCAAACATCGATGTGTTTATGATTACCAAATATAACTGAACAGGTATTTAAAGAGAAAACTCTAATTTATTTTTTTGGCCAACAAATAAATACTGAGGTATAACCCTATTAATGAACATGATAAAATACTGAACTGTTTCAGACAAAAAACTGCGGACCAACATACTAAAATTCTTTACCTGAAATCAGTAAAAACAAAGAAATACAATTATCTAAATAATCGTTTAAATAATAAATATATATGTATTATATCGACGCCCCAGTTCAAAACTGCAACAACTCAAAAAACCTTTTTTTCGGGTATAACGTTTCAAAAAAACGTACAATTTTTAAAATGCTATAAATAATTGTGAAATCGAGATAGAATGACCAAATTTGGTATGCAGCATTGGCTTAATAGTATGAATTTAACATTACCTTGCTTTTTTAATTTTATTAAAAACGAAATAAATCTTGAGCATATATTGCAGTTTTGAATTGATAAATTGTAAACACCTGAGCAATAATTAGACTTATTTCGTTCTTGAACTGAAATATTAAAAAAACCGTATGCAACAACTAGATAATATCTAGTAAATATATTATATTTCGTTAATGAATAAAAAAGACCATTTACAATTTAACAACATAATTGTATATATAATTTTTGAATAGTTAAGTAGTAAAATAATTTATTTTACTTAGTAAATAGAAATAATAATAACAATATAATTTATAAAACAAACATCACAAATTATAAAAAAAAACAATATTAAATCATGAAAGTATAAAGTATAGTATATATAGTTTATAATACCTAATAATTAGAACAACATTATGAATATGAATATTCATTAAAATATAATAAAATCAAAATCAAAATATACCTGGCTTTGGAATGAGTTTCAAAGTCTTATACCTAAGTATTATCACATAGTTACATAACTAGTCTGTAGTCTCTTCAGTTTGTAAACTTTCATAAAACGCCCAATGGTTTTTGGGAATAGCATTACTATGACATAGTGATAAAAGATCTTTTTTTTTGTCAATAGAAATTTTAACTGGTGTAGTTAAAGTTTTTACTTCTGGAATTGAAGTTAATGGTTTTCTCATTTTCTGTCTAATGTTTATTGTTTGAAATAATTCTTCAGAATAACTTGTTTTGTATTTCATAAGAGTAGGGTTGATTTTTTCAATTTGAATAACTTTGATAGATTGCCATAACACTTTTTCCCCATCTTCATTTATATTAAAGTTATTACCTAAATCAGATGATAATTTTTTCAAATCAAAAAAATCTTCATTTTGCATTTCATATACCGTATATGGTTTGCCATTTTTTTTGGCACATTTTATCACACTAACCCACTGGGAAGGTTGATAGATTGGACCACCTTTTAAAATTCTATTAGCTTCATTTTCGATTCTGGCATGCATGGAATCGCCTTCATTTTGTGAATGACCAACAGTAAAAAACTTCAGAGTGATAGATTTAATATCAAGAGTCATGGCACAGTAAATCAAAATTGAAACAACAAATTTATTTTTATTTTGACCACCACAATTATCGCAGTAATGAACCATGTTTTTGCTTTCATTTTGGTTAGATTTGATATATTGATAAAGGCAAGAACCGATTTCATTGGAACCTCGTTTGGCAATAGCTTCATGCCAAAAGTAGCATATACCTGCTCTATCTTTTATATTGTAAATGGTAAAATTATAACATGCCAATCGCCTTTTATAATAAAATTGAGATATTTCCCCACGAGGTGTAATTAAAACCGCTTGTAAATCAAAACATCCAACAATATTATTTTCATCAGAAATATCCTTTTCTTTTTCTTGTCTACACAGATTTTTTTCTTGTTGGTGCTTTTCATAGTTTTCAGTAATAATGTTATCATCTGATTCAGTTTTATTTTTATAGGCTTCACAACACATACACAAATCTTTCTTGGGTTTAAAAAAGGAAATATTGAACTCTTGATTAAAAATACTATCATACACATTTTTTTTACCATACACAACATTTTCTTCATTACATTTTTCTACATACAATTTATACATTATAGATATATTTAAACTTCCATCTATATATTGTCTAGTACTATTTGCTCTACAATAATGTGATGGAACTGAGGCAAAAGATTTAATATGATTCCTTATTCCTTCTTTAATTTCATCATCTACTTTTTTACCAAGATTTCCATGTCTTCCACGCTGATCAATTTCAAGTATGCCATTACTCATTTTTTTTGTGGCTGTGAAAATTACTCGACTTGAAATATCTAAGGTAGACATAAACATTGGTTTGCATACTCGAACACTCTTATCATCAATTTCAAACTTATAACTATAGTTTAGGGATCTGTTGCTATCAAGGCGACTACGATACTTTGGTATTATGGGTGATATTTGTCTCATTATAAACTCACGTTGCCTATTAATATCTCCTATTTTCCAGTACTGGTTATGAATTACTGAACGTTGTTCAAGAGTCAATTTATTTGCACACTTAAGCCTGCATTTTTCCCCACATGGTATTCCTACTTTTTTTGCTGGCACTACTTTCAGGTTAGACTTTCTAACATATTCTTTTCCTTCATTCTTCAATTTCTTTTGTATATTTTTTCCCCAGTTACTTTCGTTTCTCAATCTTTTTCTCGTTAATGGCTTAGCAATTTCTTCAACATTATGATTAGTTGATAAATTTATATTACCTTCTATAAGATCATTTGGTTTTGGGGTACTACTTGAGATAGATGATGTTTTAGAGCTGTGGTGTATGATTTCAGTTGCTGGTGGCTCATAGGTTTTATCTTTATCTTCATCGTCAAAGTCTTCATCAAGATCTGAATCAGTAATCTGTTCATTGTCAAGACCTAAATAATAATATATTACATACTTCAAACTTTTTTAATACATAGTAAATATAACATTAAAATATACTATTACAATAATAATTTAATTTAATGTAAGTACCTAGTAGTAGAATAATATTTTATTTTAATGATAATCTATATTTAAATTACTTTTTTTGTTGGTAGTAGAAAAATCTGTCTGCATATTGACCCATTCCTGCACATATTTATTTTTGGTGTCTTCATTATTAAATATTGTCACAGGTTTATTAAGTATTTCCTGTTTCACACAAAATCATTTATTATAGTCATAATATTATTAACATTAATTTCTATTATATTTTATATTACGATTATGTTATTAACAAAAGTTCAAAATATGTACAGTTCAACACTAAAATTCATTGAACTGCATTAAATATAATCATACAATTTGTATTAAAATAAGTAGGTACTTACAACATTAGATACAACAACTGAATCTGCAATTAGTTTTGCTCTTCTTGAACGTAACATTTTTAACCAAACTGTATTACTTAATTTATTAAAACTACGAAACTAAATAGGTAGCACGAAATAAACCAATAACATTAAATAACATTATAATTATTCACAAAATTAAGCTAATTAGTAATTTTTGTACCATAATAATAATAAATAATACAAAATGATAGTAATCGATTATGTGCTATCATAAATATTAATTATTATCTTAATTAATGTACAGACTGTATCAACTTAGAAAAAACAAAACATTTTCAGTTCATAATTGCAATAAGTCGATTTATTTCTGTATTGAATTGAATGTAATTGTAATATACATTATAATACAAAACGAAATAAACGCTCTCTTGTGGACAATAATTTAACTATATTTTATTGTGTTCTTGAACTGAAATCGTTATAAAATGACAAAAAATATGGTATTAATAACTCGAATTTGAAATTTTTTGAGTTGTTGCAGTTTTGAACTGGGGTGTCGATATATACTAAAATTTATAAAGTATATAGAATAATTTTTTTACTAAAACCTATATTAGTTATTAATATATGTATTTATAGAATCATATAAAAAAATAATAACTCTAGATACTTAACAATATAGTAATTGGAAAGTGTGTATATCATAATAATTTGAACTAATCAAAACACTAACTATTTTAAACCGAAATGTTTTATCTTGTAGTTTCTTTTCAAATAGTAAAACTTCATTCACTGTAGAAATAAGGAAATTCCACAAAACTGCATCATCAGATTGGTCACCCAATTCATCATGATTAATGTATTTTCCATGATTTTCCAAGCGATCAACCTTTGACAAGAGTTTTTTTAGATCACATTTCAAAGAAACTACAATGCTGTAAATTTTGTTCATCTTATCTAAAGTAAATATATTATAAAATTACATGGCTAAAATTATTTAGC